ATTTATAATTTTCAATTTTATAATTTTTATATTATCAATTTCTTAAAAATATTATCTCGAGTTTTATTTCATATATTACAATCAGCGTTGTAAAGTCGTTTTCATTCTCTATTTTTTCGAAACAAGCGAAATGTTTCGATGTTTGTAACAAATAATTAAGCATAGAAGTCAATTCATGAATTCAGAATGTGATTCAAAAATATTGCGCATTACATATTGACAGTATTTTCGAAAATACACAAGGTTCTCAATAAACCAGAATGGATCTAGATTTTCAGAAGTAGGCATTTGCGAACATTAGAATGAATTCTTTTCAATCCCAATTTTATTCATTCATAGGAATTGCATGAAACACATTATGCCTTTCAATCTAAAAAAATTTCAATTCTTTAAATGCATTGTGAACTCAATTCAAAATTCTAAATAGAAAATGCGATTTTTCAATTCAATTGAAAATAAAAAAAGTAAAAATGAATCAAGAATGCTATTAAAGTACGCATTCGGCTGCATTAATCAATAGATAAAAATTTCAATATATTTTAATCCAATCGTGATTAATTTAATCGTTTACTATTACATTCGACATTTCGTGAAAATAATTGATCCGTGCAATTATTTGAATTTGATAAATCCATGAAATCAAATTCAACATTGCGGACACACATACACACATATACACACACATTATACACATATTTACGAAAGAGAATGCAATAAAGATTCGAAAAAAGAAACAATCTAATTTTAGAAGAATAAAAATAAAAATTAGATCTATATATTAAATTTTTTATGTAGATGTAGACGCAACAGAATGGCGAAGGTTTAATTTGAAAAAAACATGTACATTTTTTTTTTTAATTAAAGAAGAAATATAATTCGATACCCTCGACGTATTCTTTCTTTACGCGAAATCATAATGGGATTAACGATTTTACGTAAAACCATCTTTCTTCCAGTACCAATAATGGACAATACTCCGAATAGCAAAGAAATTGAATTATCTAACAATTAACTGGCGCATCCTTCTCGTAACGCTCATGCAATCGCGCAATATAAAGCGATCGTCGGTCTCTACAAGTCGAGCGTCCGGATCGCTCTATGCAAATCGCGAATGAGCGAGCGAGCGAGCGAATGAACGAGCGAGCCGAGCATCGCGGCGCCTTTGGCTTCTCCCGGCGCTCTCTCACCCTTTCACGGATTACGGAGCTGTCGCAAAAAACGTCCGCCTCGCAGTAACGGTCTGCTGGCAAAACCTCCCTTTCCGCCTTGCTTTTTCTACGTGCGAAAATAAAAGTCTCTCGCGCTTTTCCTACCGGTCCGGAGAAAGGCTGCGAGAGTGGGGAACGAGGGGGGGAAATAGAGAGAGAGAGAGAGAGAGAGAGAGAGAGAGAGAGAGAGAGAGAGAGCGTAGCGCGGGAGGGAAAGGGGCAAAAATACGAGAAGGCGGGAGGGTGTACGAGGGTTGGCGGCGGTCTGGCGATGAGGGGGTGGCAAAAAGAATCGTAGCGATGTCGGCGAAGGAGGAAAAAGAGCAGTCCGCGAGAAGCGACGAAGGGATGGTGAAAGGAAAGGGTAGAAAGAGAGAGAAAGAAGAAAGAGAAAGAGAGAGACTGTGAGAGGGAGGGAGAAGGGAGAAATGGGGAAAACGGATTCGGAGGAAACCGAGATTCCAGGATGCGAGATTTCAAGAAATATAACGTTCATTCCCGGTTTCCGCGCGCACGATTAAAACGTATTATCACGCTGACGCTATTATGTTACATATCTTTATGCGTCCGAAAAATGTTGGTGAATATTTGGTAAAAAGGCATTGTTGCGTTTCACCGTGACATATTTCTTGGGAAATACGAAAATATCAGACGAGCATTTAACGAGACACCTTTACTAAAATTTTAATTTCGGGCCTCGTGAAAGCCCCTTCACATTTATCCTTCCGGAGGATACAATTGGGATCACCCTGGAGTAAGCATGTGCCATCGCGGTTTTCCTGCTCGTGCCCACCCTTTAACGTCCAAAACGTGTGCCACTAAAGAAGAAGCGAGTGGGGAGGAAGACTGTGGGGTAGGACGCGTACTTTGCAGGGTACCGCATACCAGGGGGGAGGTTCGTATACCACCCTGCAAAAATGTCGGTTCCTCGGGCGCAAATAGGGGGGTAAGGAGGTCGCGCGTCTACAGGGGTTGCGCGATGGAACCAGCTGAGAGAGGGGGAGGGGGGGGGACGCGACGAAAAGAGGGGCACGAGGGAAGATGGGTTTTTACGGCGTACCCTCCCCGTCGTCCTCTCCCTCCTCTCCGCCTCCCCCCCTCAGCCACGGCGACAGGGGCGGCGTGCGAGGCAGGGGCGCGTTTTTACGACGACCACGACGAGGGCCAGGGAGGAGCTTATGTACACCACGACGACACTAGTAAGACGAGCGGTTCTTGTCGGTGGGAGGGAGGGGGACATCACGATTTTCGCATCATTCTCTTCTGGACCCCCGCGTGCCGGAGTCCGCACCGGAATGCGACCTCCGTGCCGATCCGCAAAGCCACGCCTCTCACGTGGCTGATGATGGCTCGTCCTGGTGTACCCTAGCCTCTCTGAATTTTAACCCCCTCGGGATATGAACAGCCGGGCAACAATGTTGATTATCCGTCGCACAGAGATAACTCTCATTTCTCGATTTCGCGTCGTTCGTTAATTTTTAGATCTACACGCATCCCCGAGTAGCAAATCATATTTAAATGGAATGATATGCTTTATACATTGTGCATTGTTAAAAAATAAGAAGATACGTGTTTCCTGTTCAGATTTAATTAGATACGATATATTGCTTCTATTCTTATAGTCTATTATCCGTTAATGCATTGTAACTTCCGACTTTTTTTGTGCCAGAAGATTTATTATCGATAAAATTTTAGAGAGATAAATAGGCGTGATTTTAATTTTTTAGTATCTAATTTTCAAGCACATTATAGTCTTTACAAAAAAAGTCATGATAAAATTTTTTACATTTTTTGTAGAACTCGAATGGATGATTCTTTCAGCGTTGGAAAAATTCGAAAACGTGTGATGCAATAATTAACATAAAATTCTAAAATAATACACGGCAGTAACAGGAGCTGCATGTTTCCTGTCGTTATTTTCTTAACGCTTTAAAGCTACGATAACATAAAAATCAAACAAAAGCAACACGTATCTATGTCTCGATCATTGACGCAATTAGTCTTGTTTACTACGCTTTGTCCATGACATACAGGGTGTCCCAGTTTTACTACTTTTTCTTCTGAGTGTGTACTTTTCCCTGCTAGATCTGCATTTTTTTGTATGATTTTTATAAAAATAATAAATTCTTTATATATAAAGAATTTACTTATTTATTTATTTTTTAATAAAATAAAACTATTGACTTATCGAGTTTTTATTCATGCAGCAAAATATCTTCAATAACAATTTATCTTAATTTTTAATTGTAAATTACACGTAAAATTTTATATACAAAATCCAATATATAAAAGTATATTTGCAATACTTTATCGAAAGATCAACAGCAATTTTCTCAAAACAAATTTTTATAATTTATAGAAT